CATCACCATGACGGCCAAGATACAACGGAAGAAGGGAAAGCTAACTGTTAAGCCAACACCGCGGGTTGAGCGCCATCATCTCGACGAGTGGATGAGACGTACGCGACAGCGGCTCGGGCTGGCACCTGAGGAAGCAGCAACCGACGGACAGGAAAACGGCCACGCAAACACGCTTGCCACAGAATCTGTGCAGGCATCAGCATCTGCCACAGACAGGCTGGCCGAAGATGCCCTGACGCCATCACAACATCATAGCGCTGACAAGTCGCAAGGCGACGAAGCTGGCACAGTGGTACAGAACCCAACGCAAGATGGGGCAGCCGTTGAGGAGGCTACAAGCGAGACTCGCGCTGCTATAGCGGACACGGAGGTGGCCGGTGGCAAAGGATCAGAAGGTGAAGATCCGAAGAGTGATCATACAACGAAAGATGGTGACAACACCCGAGACAACAAAGGCCATGAGAATGTTGGACCAGTCAACAGAGGTGAAGTTGCTGAAATTGGCGAGACAGCTCTGGAAGGCGAGGCAGTAAGACAAGTGGCTACGAGCGACGAAGGGCCTGGAGTAGGCAAAGGGGTCACGACTCAGGATGGGGTACAAGATGGCGAACTGGCTGAAGAGGCCGAGCCTAGAGCCGAGGAAGATTCCCAAGCTGTTGAGAGTGCGGCAAGTGGTGGTCCTGGGGGTGCGACTCGCCGAAAAGCTGCAGGGGACGAGCGAGCCGAAAGTGGCGAGTCGACGGGTGGTCAATTAGGTCCAAGTGGAACCAAACGTGGCAAAAGGCCGTTGGCAAGGAGCCCAGGGGATGAGCGGAAACAGAAGAAGTTTAAGCTCCCGCTTGAAAGGCCCGCGGCTGGTAAGAAGCGGCGATAGCTTCAGACCATAGGGACACTGTTCCGTACTGTACTGTACTCTTGTCATGTAATCTGTGACCTGGACACCTATGAAGCAAAGGCACATCGCACTGAGGTGCTTTATCCAACCTGACAGATGCATTTAGAAACGTGTGAATGGAGGGAGGCCATTCCTTACACGTAACAGTGACACTGCACTCGCGATCCTCGCCATATCCTTGTAATATTCACCTCTGATAAAAATTGTGACGGAACCTTGCATTTCTGAATCCTGTGCTGCATGTAACCGAATTTGCCGGAGTGGAATGGAAGGTCCTACGCACAGAGGACTGTGCGCTAAGTCATGTCATCAGCCGAAGTTTGCAACCCGGCAACTATTACTATGAACCTCGCCAATTCGCGAAATTGGTGCTGAAAATTTGTAAGCAGCGCCTCGACACTTCGCAGCTCCGTGGCACCACGAGCTACCAAATTTTCGGTGTACAATTCATCTTTTTATGCAACTTTGACCGAAGAGAGCTTTGGCCGAAGTGAACTTTGATTGAAGGGAACTTTGATGAGACTGAAGGGAACTTTTACCAGACTGAACTTTGACTTAATAGAACTTTGATCCAAAGGAACTTTGATCCAAGGTAGCAGAGCTGCGGGCGACACTTGGCATCTTCCAATGCACCTCCTGGCACAACGATACCTGCTGGCAACCTCCAGGGAAGCATGCCTATGGCAATCTCTCTCTAATATACTACTGTAACTGGCGGACTATGGTGAATTTCGAATTGCAATATGATTGTGCTCTGCATCCGGAAACTAGGACCAGGTGTGCGCCAATTTGCCGCAAAGGCCACCCCTATGCGCACGAGTCATTCGTAGATCTTGCCGCCTTATACTTGGTCTAAGTAGTTGTCTTGCATGGTCTCGGCGCCTGTGTAGCAAGAATTTAAGGTTGCCCAGAACTGTGTATATGCCTGGATCGTTATTCCCCATGGTTTTGCTCCAGAGATCCAGGGTTTTTCGATACAGGCTCTCCGCCTCATCATGCTTTCCACGGGCTTCAAACACGACTGCAAGGTTGTTCATGCTCTGCAGTGTTTCTGGGTCTTCCTCACCAAATGCGACAGTCCTTCGTCGCAACGTCTCCACGTGCATTTCCTCGGCGTCGTCGAGCTTCCCTCGGGCATTGAGCAAGCAACCGAGATTATTCCTCACAGTTAATGTCCGGCGATCATTTTTCCCAGCCATTCTTTCCACCATCTCGAGTGCATTCCGATAGATGACTTCAGCGTCGGCATATTGTCCTTTGTTGTCAAGCACGCAGCTAAGATTGTTCAGACTGATCAACGTCGGCCCAGTCATGCCGAAAATTTTCTGACGTCGGCTCAGGGTGGTTCGGTGCATGATCTCAGCCCTATTCAGGTGGTCCAGGTTATCCAGAGTGCAGGCATAGTTGTTCATGACATCCAGCGTCTCAGGGTCTTCCTTGCCCATAAGCTTCTCCATGCCTGGAAGGACGGCCTCATACACCTGCGCTGCCTCCTGCTGCTTCCCGCTGCTATCCAACAAATACGCAAGGCTATGCAAAATGGTAAGCGTTAGATGGGCATCTGCGCCGACAATCCTGGTTGCCAATTCGGCAGCCTCTCGGTAAACTTGTTCGGCCGCAGACCATAGCTTTTTGCGGTCCAATGCAACCGCATATTTGTATAACTCGCTCACCGCCTCCGGTTGTTGTCTTCTTATCGCGTCGTCTCTGCGTGTCACAAAGTCATGCATCCAACTCTCCGCATGGGACTGAGACTTGGAGTCACTCATGGGTGGCGTACGCGGAACCGCTCCCTGAATGTGAGCGGTGCAGTACCGTGAGCGATAGGGAGTGGCCCTGGATCACAAGAATGATGTATTTTATAGTGTAACGCACAGTACCTGTGTGAATGCTATGTCACAGGATGGAGCTAAAATCACAATGCAGAAAAGTGCCGTCGGACGGACTTGGAGCCAAGACGGTACTACTGAAGCCGCCTGCACGACTTCTCGGCTCGCCATGTGTGGATGAGCCTGCTATACACGAAGTCAGAATTTGGCTTTCAGCATAGTACGTGCTCAGTCAAAGGTGGCGCTGCAGTACTGCGCTATATAAAAGGGTGCCAGCCAATCTAGACATTGCCCGCGGAGTCCCTTGGACGACTCAAAATGGGTAGATTTGGGAAAAACGAAGTTGTAGCCGTGTTCCATGTCATTCTGGCAGTTGTCATCCTTGTAATATCGTCCAAGATGCTTGCCAAATCTCAAACCAGGGAAGGAATATTCAAGCTTTCGGTATGATCGCCGCCACACCCCTAACTTGTCAGCGACTTACAGAGCATGTCAAAAGCTCGACACGAAACAGATTCCACGGGATATACCTGATCCCATAAAAAGCGTCGGAGCACAAGTGACGAAGGCCGGCGCCACGCTGGCGGCAGAAGCGAGCGGTGTCAAATCTGCTGGAGCAGACCTGGCAAGTTCTGCTGTCGCCGCCGGTGCTACCTTGATCAGCAAACTAGGCCCGAAAGGCGCCGCAGCTGGTACGAAAGAGGCGTGCGGGAACTTCAGCGGTACCTGGGAGTGCATATCCTTTCCAATGATGATGGCGGTCATCCCATTCACTATGGTTTTCGCCACACTGTCCGCTGGGTTTTGTATTCTGTCTGTAAAGGTGGTTGCAGTTCCCTTCGTTGTTCCTCTGTTCAGTGTTCTGTCCTGGATGGCGTCTGCGATTTGTATGTCTATTGCCTTGGCTATTTTTATTGTTGCCTGGAGACTGCAAGACCGACTCCAAGAACATCTGCCCACGACCTTTAGCACTGGTTTCGCGCTGAAAGGAGCCATCACAAACTTCGTAGCCGCCACTTGTCAATTTCTAATCTCTGGCGTCGGTCCTTGAAGCAATG